ATGCCAAAATTATATGTTTACATAAACTACTTTCTGGAGTCGTCTGTTTTATTTCGATAGTAACTAAATTGAGAGGAAATTAAATTTGTGATATTCTTTTGGGTTGGTTTTTGCCCCACGCCTCTCCACTTAAGAGCAATATAGAGAAAACGCTGTAACTCTGTTAGCCGCAGCTTCCAGGCAGCAGAGCTGATCTAACCAAAGTTCCTACACGTTGTATTCTCCTGGGAGAAGCCAAGACAATGTCAAGCCCTGTTATCGGACAACTGTCACGAACCTTCTCCATAATGGCAGAACTCGCACAAAGCTATCCCCTTATACCTTTCTCAAGCATGATGCCATAACAAAACATTCATTGTTTTCAGTAATTCATTACGTTTGCTGTGTTTAACGATGCTTCAAATTGCTGAGATTATAAAAATTAAATTATAAGTTTTTATGATTAGTTGACGAAGAACTTCAAAGTATTTGAAAGATACAGGTCTTGCTTGAAGAGTTATCCATGCATTCGATTGGTGGGATACTGCTCGTAAATAGAATTAGGAGTAACGGCTGTGAAGAAATTCCATCCTTTGGCTGAAGTTTAGACATGGAGTGTTCGGAATATGAATCAGAAATCATAACCACTCGAACACGAATGGACCTTTGTCTCATTTAATTTGCGTTCATTGGGGTCTATATCTATTACAGTAAAGAAGGTTACCTACTTCAAATACCACGTATTGATATACTTGAATTTTGACAGGTAAGTGCAAATGTAGATTAGTCAAGATTAAGAAAGAAGGTTGTTAATTTATGAAATGTTCTTTTAAAAATTCGGGTTACGTTATCAATTTACTTATAGCAGTCTTTTACGAAAAAAAAACAGAATTTGCCCCATATAAAAGACCTAACGTAAACCATTCAATTCCAGTCTTTTATATTTTTTGAAAATTCACTGCTGGTAAATTAAAGGAAAATGGAAGTAAAGTAAATTAATGTTATATATAAATAAATGTATGTGGGCCTTTGGGCTATATTTGTTTCATTCCGTGTGAAGTCCAGGTCAGACTCATGCTATGAAGTGTAATTGATTTTCGGTTCCCAAAAAAGGCGGATAAATTCTTGACCAGCTGATTATCAGTTTCTGAAGAAGGTTCTCTGCTTTACAGAGCTAAATATAAAAACTGTTACTATGTTACACATAAAACTAGATTCTAATTTAGTGATCTGAAATTAACACTCAGAAGCTAAGCCTTCAGATTACTTCAGAAATAAACGCGAGTTGTACCAAAAAGAAATAAAGAAGGTGCTCTATAAAATCAACACAGGACAGTCGAACATACTGTTACATATAAAAATATCTACACAGTCTTTCGTGTTCTTTCTGTTCCTAAGTTTCTCCCATCAGGAAATATAGCGATGTTTCAAGTAGGGAGAAGCCTGACGGTGAGAAGTGAAACTAATAACACAGTGCAAACCCCTCCCCCCCAACCCCTCTGACTTCCATTCATCCCAGAACAGCCCGAGTTATCTTTCTCTTCGACAGTGCCAGAGAGCAAAGATATTGATGCCATGTATCATGTCTCTCTTTTTTGTACTAGAAACGTTATGATCGGTTCCATCTGTTGAAAATATCACATTTTCTCACATATGATAATATTTTAGTCTCACGGCCTTTAGAGATTGATATTCACGACAGCCGTGTACAGCAACGCTATCCTATACGCCACTCTGGTGCACTGGAGAGATTTGATATCGCCAGCAGCTTCTATCTTGCTCTGTTCACTTTGCCTGAGGACGGAACTTACGTCAGGGGTAACCAAAAGAAATCCAGTGTCACGGATATATTAGTGCTCACTTTAACTCCTTTACTCCATTCAAGAAAGAATGAATCTTATGACAAACTCTCACGGGGTTTGGATTGGATGACTGGCTTTATTAATCACTCCTTTATAATCACTCGTAATCACAATGAATTACTATAATTCACAATAAATGACTGCCTAGAAGTCGCTCCATTCTGATCTGTTTTCTCTCTGCCATCTCTGCTACTGGCTTCTACTGATCTGAACTCAATTCTGTTCTCCTCTTACATAGCGTATCGATATATCGAAGGAAACGTCTGTTTAGCAACCGGCTTCGAGGTGCTTTCAAAGAATTTGTCTCCGTGGAAATGTGTTCTGCCTATTCGTTCCCTGGCACTGGGTCTACATGTCATAATAGTTTCTGTATTTGTGTTAGTATGTGTATACGGAGGCAAGGAAGAGGGCTACTTGTGTAACATCACAGAACACAACATTTCTTGAGGAAATAAGAGTCATTCACGTGGTTAAGGAAAGAGAGGCATTAACTTAACATGTGATTTCAACTTATAATATTGTATTTTAAAAATGGATCAAACTTATGACATTTTCATGATGTTAACGTCATACTAGAGATCATTTTGTCTTTGCATCATTAAATACACTATCACTTTGGCTATAATAACAACATGATTATCCTGAGAACATCTAAAGTGGTAGAAAACGTTATACAGCTTAAAACAGGTCGCTAAAACTCTGAAAAATCAAACACGTTTGTTACCGCCATCTTATGTTGAACATTTCGATTTCCCTCACTCTTTAGTTATATTGCATTCCCTTTAAAATTCAATAATACAATTGCTATCTTTCGAGCTTCTGCAAAACTTGCGTGTTTCAGTAATTCCGCTTGAACCGACTCCATATTTCCCCTGTTAATCTGAAGGGTAGGTATACCTACATCTTATGAATTGAATGTATGAATATGGCATAACAGTAGGAAAGACTTCTATAGGAACTGCCAAGACCTATCTCACCCATTAAACTTATAAAATATCACTGCAAAGGAACGAGATGATTAGGGACCAACTCAAATATGTCAGGTTTGAGAGTCGAAATAGTGATNGCAGATAACAATAGAGATAGCATTACTGAACTAGCAGAACTTTTAATGAAATCATAGCCCTATCATTTGCTCAACTACCAGAGGTACGTTATGTAAAATTGAAGCTTCATTAGTGTTTTGGCAAAAACCCGCCACTAGATTCTACATGCATCAAGATGAATCCTTATTTTTGCAAGACACACTTTAACATTAACTTCCAGTCCACACTTAAGTATCCCAACGAGTTCCAACACTCATTTCCCTCTCAAAAGGTTGTCATTTTCCTCATGCGTGTTACATGTCCATCTCATCTCATTCTTCTCGCTTTATCATCTAGTAATATTTGCACAGAATTACTGGGTTTTCGGAATTTTTTGATCGTCCGGAATTCTAGGTAATAGAAGACACGACGTTTCGGAAACTGCATCTGTTTCCGTCTTCAGGTGAAGAAAGAAGATACCTACTCAGTAGGGCCCCTTAGAAAGAGCTAATCTCAATCATTGGACCTGTGTCTTCCTTCCTCACCTGAAGACGGAAACAGATCCAGTTTCCGAAACGTCGTGTCTTTTATTACCTAGAATTCCGGACGATGGAAGAAGTCCAAAAACCCAGTAATTCTGTCGTCCACCATTGTCAAAACCCTTTAGAATGTAGTAATATTTGGTCTTCTATGTCCTCAGAAAATATGAAAGCCATAACAACAGCTCCGAAACAAAACACACTACTGGTACCTCCATTTTTCCCAGTTTCGCAACACGGTTTGTCCTCAGGGTCTACATTCCGTTGAAGAGCTGGGCAGACAATTTTCTGGTATCCTTGGGACGTGATTATTCAATTTCTTGAGGCAATTCCCAATTTTGTGGGTCAATTACCTTCCTCAAGTTCCTGTCTATTCTGTTTATTTCGGACACGGCCTTTCGTCCCTGCCGCAACTAATGACCAGAGTGGCCCCAATGGCGTGGCCTCCGCACATCGTGCAGCGTTTGGTAATGGGCAAAATTTTGAAGCTCTTGATTGTGCAGTTATCTCCACGTTAGACATAAATATTCTTCTCCGTGCCCTGTTCTAAATCACAATTTACATTTCCCGTTTAATGTGACAAATGAATCTTATACTTCAATAACGGGTTCAAATAAACTCCGTGGCCTGTAGTCCGCAAGCGAACTACACCGACCGAGTTACCGCCGTTTGACGGCGAAGTTAGTGCCAACTTTAGCGGATAAAGGGTGTCGTGTGGTCAGTGCAACGAATCCCCACGGCCGTTAATTTCGGTTTTCTAGACCGAAGCCGCAATTTTTCCATTCACTTAGCTCCTCAATTATCCTCACGAGGCTGAGTGGACACCGTTCCAGACCCACTACTTCTCAGAAAATATGATAGCGTCGGGAATCGAACCCGGACCTCTGGATCTGTAGCCAGAAACTCTGACCACTAGACCCCAGAGGCTGCCTCAATAATGGGTTCACATACATATAACCACGTAGTTCACTGAAACTCAGCCAACGTTTAGGAGGAAAACTTCACGGTTGAAAAGTAAAGCAAGGAAAAAATCAGTATGAAACAGGCAGCAAGGGTGAAGGCGAAAAGTTCTTCCGAAACGTCGGTTGACTTTCAACAGCATTATGTCCAAAAATATCGAACTCTTCATAACCACCCCTGTGAGGACCTAAAATCTTAAACAATTACGTGAATTCGTACCTGAAAACCGACTCATATTTGATGCGTAGCGTTACTTCGTGCATAACCTTGTCCTAAAATCGGCTCGTAGCCACAGACAGGATTTATGTGACACTACAATATTCTCTTTCACGATGAAGGCCTTAATGCGGATCATTCTCTGTAACAACGGCCCATATCACATATACCAAATGACAAATATTACCTTCAGTTTCACGCCAGACAACAGATGTGACAATGAGGCCCTTGACGGTTAAGTCCACATCCGTTACACTATTGAATGTATGAATAAAATTCGACCTCATCATACGTATTGAACTTCCTGGAAAACCACAGGAAATATCAATGCAGACATAATGTTGATTTTCTAAATATGAAAATATGAAATACAATTGGCATCAGTAGAATGTTAGTTAGTGAATGTTGTGAGACATAAATGTTACTGCCAGTGTTCAGAATGTCAGCATGTAAACGAAGGGAAACATAATGTGATTCCTGCACTGGGATGCAAGCTCGAGGAGTTGTTGGAAAGAAGACACAAATGAATCTGATAACAGCCATGATACTGAATCCCGTTATTGGTATGTAGAATCTAGTATGTGTTTATTATTTGCATTCATAGTGCAGTCGGTATAGCAAATGTCTAGATGCTGGGCGGAGGAGCCGGGTTTCGAGTCCCGGTAGGGGAAATATTTTACTCATTTCCACGCCGTTCAAAACGGTTCTGGGGTCCACACCACCTCCTATAAAATGGGTACCTGGGGCTCTTTCCCCGGGGTTAAAGAGTACGGGGCGTGAATCTCACCACTCACCTCCAACAAGTACGGAGGTCAAGAACACGTGGATCTATACATGCATTCCTCCGTATGTCTTCAGGGCGTAGGGTTTAATTAGTTAAGCAGTTGGATAAATTTATCTTTAACTTTATCATTTTATTTCATACGTTCTGTACACATATTGTGATTGCATATCATTTTAAAATATTAATAAATTTAAGTGCGCCGGAAGAGTACCAAATTCGTTATGACGTTCATGACAAAAATAGAACAGAACGATTATGTTTTATGTTCTTGTATTTTTATGTTTACGGAACATAACCATCAGTCCGTCTCTAACCGCTCCAGCATACACACTGCAATGCTACATATTCCTCAGCTCATTATTGGCCACATCCTGAATTCTTCGATATGCCTGTTGCTTCTAAATGCCAGTAAATAAAATCTAGTTAATCACTCGAGTCACGGTGGATCCGTCGCCACAAAATCTTGATACTGTGATAACAACGCTACCAACAACAACAACAAAAAAGAACAAGATAATATTCCTATATACTGCAAACCTTGGAGTTCCTTACACGGGCCACCACAGATGTAGAATTTTACTTTGACTTTTCGATGCTCTGTTTATAATTCGGCACATTCATTCATAATCTACTTAGAATATTTCATTTAGCATTTTACGCAATTTTTGTACTAAAAACAGCACGTAATATTTTTCTTTTACCTTGATGTAAATGTATTCCACTCGACGACCAGAAGTTGTTGGAAATATGGAGTGAACATGAAATAATTGAAATTTTTCTTATAATTATAAATTTGTGTTAAGACTGCTCATTTACAGCTTGTGGACCTAGAGATAATAAAATAGGTGTGCAATTTGCACGGCAGGCCTTCGGTTAACTGAAAGTCGGTTATAGTCAATTCATCTTAGAAAAGGTAAAAAAAAAAAAAACACACAGGCAGTCAAGATAGTCGAGCGATCTAAGGCATGTGCTGTCTTCGCTCGCTCGGAAGCCGGGATCGTGAGCTCGAATCCCACACAAGGCATGGATGTTGGTAGTGTGTATGTGTTTACTCTGCATTTGTGTTGTCATGTGTTTAGGTAGAGGCCTTGCGACGAGCTGATCACCCGTCCAAGGAGTCCTACCATGATCATGAAACTGAGAAATGAGCCCTATGCTCCAAATTGGGAGCAAGAACAGAGGAAAAGAAACAAGACATGTTTCGTATCGAACCACCCACTACCGCAGACATTGTCGTCTCGCCTCAGTGCTTGTAATTATTACATACTGGAAGCAGTCACTGAAGAACACCTTAATATTCTGTGCAATACAAAATTCATTCGTTTCCTTACAGAATATTTGAACCTGTAAATGTGTCAAATCGTAAGAAACTTCTACTACAGACTGTCTCAGTTTTGTGAGGCCTGTACAAATGCATAAAAGCGCGAGGAAGAAATTCCATGCGCACTTCAAAAGATATCAATCATTTTTTTTTTGTACTTGCTAATACTGAACATCAATGTCGAAGCCTCAAGATTGTATATTGTGTGATGGTGATCACAACACACAGCTGTCGGCACACAGTACAAAGTGAATGTAGATTCCTCTTCGAAAAGACAAGTTTTTCATCCTTTATGAAGTATAACCACTAATCAGTCAACGCAAACCACTGGCAGAAGTGAAAATTTCTGTTACACCTGTGTTAGACATTCGCTTTACTGTAACTATTTGGTCTTTCTAATATCATACGATGTAAGTTAATTTGATTATTTACTGACGTAGAACGGCTATCGAAGTAAACCGAAATGTGTGATGTTGGTGAGTTGGGGTGGGGAATGTCGTAACACATGAACCCAATAAGAGGAGGGCATCATGTTCCTAGAGAGACTGGCAGAAACCACGACAGGTCTTCGACAAGGACCTAATTCCAGCAAGGATTTCTTGCTAAGCAAACATGAAATATAACAAATTCACCACAACTTATTAATCGGTGGAGGGCTCATTTTGTTATTCTTTTTAAAACAGTTACAAATACTCCAAATAATTTCAGATGTTAAAGAAATCATGCAATGAATTCCTATAATTTATTCACTGAAATTCTCTTTTGCGGATGAGTGTGGGGGGATATACCCTGTACTTCTTTTCGACAAAGGAAGTGACTTTTCGGACAATACCGTCTCGAGTTTCGACCTGTTACCAGTTATTCTCACAAAGATTTTTAAAATTGTAATCATTTGTTCTAGGTGAATATCACGACAATTCTTTAATGAAGGTCGAGTCGCATTAAAAATATTACTAATGAAAATACCACATACAGCTATGAACCAAAAGTTGAATATTACATATTTGCAGACGCGAAGAGACCGACTCTGTTCCGGACGGAAAATTTACCGAAACTAAAATAATAGAAAAAAGTTCAGATAAAGGTATACATGATAAATTATGAATAAAAATGCCTAAATTTACAGGGTGGAAAAAAACTATTCAATTAAAATAGTATAAAGTGTTAAATTATATTGTCACAAGCATTACCGGAAGTGGTTAGGACTAACCCTTGTTTAACCTGTTAAAAGAAATATTTACTTAGCCATTCCAAGTATTCTCGGAAAATTAAATGTTTTATGGATTTCTGGGACTCTGAGTGTGCTTTCAGAAAATGGTTTGAGCAACCCAAGATTTTCTTCTAATTTAATAAATTTACAAGTCTATTTAATTCAAAATCAACTGTGTGTATTAATCATCAAAACTGATTAGTGAATACCAGAGGACAATGGTGGTTTGTTGTCAGATAATGAGTATTGTACGTTTGTTAGAATTTAAGCTCTTTAGAATCCCCATTATTTATTGATCAGTCTTCAATTAATCGTCCACAAAACCAAGCATTAATACATAATGCATTTCGGAATACAGATCTGCAGAGAGCGATTTTGTCAATGGTATCTACCAACCTCTTTCATACATAATGAAGGACTGAACTGTTAATCTGGGAAGTTTCGTTTAGGTGGTTCACTGAAAATTATCTCAAAGATAGGCCTTACTTCATTTTTTAAATACAAATAACTGAAAATTATTAAATGAGCATGATACTTTTCGTTAAACTGACGGTTACTCAGGTGGTCAATAATTTACTGGAATTTTATTAAATATTCACATGTAGCCATTGCTTGTCTCTATTCCGATCATGATAAATCCAACAGATATCCTCACATCCTTCGCTTGAAAATAAAAAAAAAAGTATTTTTATCTTGCCATTAATGCCTTTTCTCCAAATTTGTATCTTCTCTTCATATTCTCCTTGTTTTATAAGCTTCTATATCTCGTACATCCTGTTGTAGGTCCTTATAGTCTACTGATTCTTTGTTCTGTAACGTGCTCAATTGGACCTCCGTAATCATCCACTGATCTACAAGCGTTGCTTTGAGGTACAAATTATCGACGCACAAAAAGAATGATGGAGACGCAGCAAGGCCTAATCCGAAATATGTGTTTAGCGATGTACTGCTCTTGGTGAATCAGATAAACTGAGATGTACAAAGTTTATTTATGCTTTCCTCCACATACCCATAATCGTGTTCGTGTTTTCTGTACGAAGATTATAACTCCCGTACATCCATCGGGTAAAGTTTTCTGTTTCTAGCACCGACAATTTCATTTCATCAGACGTAAAAGCTACCGGACACAAAGCAGAAGCACAAAAATAATTTTTCTCTTCTGTTTACATGGCATTTAAAATAATTTTCCTTGCGAAATGTAAGTATATATCAGTACGTACCTCAGAAAACTTTTTTATTTTATCACCTTATAAACGGATCACTAAGGAGATTAGGAACAGATACAAGATTTTGGCAGCAGAACGTGAAGAGGTGAGATCAGCTGAGATACCTAGCATTAAGGGGGATAATATGGTTCTCAAAGAAATTTATGTGAGAATGTGGAGTGAATAAAACTTCTTCAGCACAGGGTCCATTGTCGTTCTCTTATAGAAACGTTACAGAGACTTCTGCTTTCCAAACAGATGGAAAAATCTGAACACCTAAGCGACTATCTTCACATCAAAAAGACCTTCCTGAAACAGGAAGGCCAGCACTTTGATTTTCCAAATTAATGGGAGAGACTCAATAATAAGATTCATACAACCCCTTTCAAAGCAGGAAAGCCTTTAGTAATCGAGAGTACTGGTTATGATATTAACACTCAAGGGAATATGGATATGGCACTTGCACATGGGGAATCCTCATTACAAATTAGCAGTATTCTGTGTTCTTTCAGCAGCTTAAAATCCATACAAAACATTCCAGAATATTAATGAAATGTATGCCAAAAATTTTTTTCTCCTTCTTTTTGTTACTATATTGTTAATTAGTAATTACTTTAAGTTCTTTATTTCTTCGTGTTTTTCTTCCATAACTTATATTTCTGAATCTCATCCAGGTATTATACAATGAATACATATAAAAGAAGTAGATTCGTATATTCTTAAGCAAAAATCTATACACTGTAGTTTCACGTTTCAATCTTCAATATTTTTTCTTTCCCCCCTTGGCACTATAGCCCCAGTGGGCCTAGGCCTACCTCCATGAACTTCTCCGTTCACTTCGGTTTTTTCTAGATCTTACACATTCGGTAGGACTCCTTTGGCGGGTGATCAGTTCGTCGCAAGGCCTCTACCTGTACACAAACACAGAAAAACGCACACAAACTAAATATCCATGCCCTGAGTGGGATTCGAACCCACGATCCCGGTTTCCAAGCGAGCGAAGACAGTACATGCCTTAGACCGCTCGGCTACCGTGACCGGCTCAATCTTCAATATATTTTTTGTATAATACGAGGGCACTTATTCAGGATTGTTAAATAAAATAACAGTTATATTCAAATAAGATCTATTACGACTATCATGACGTTTCTACATTTCTTTTTCCCACACATCATTTCATGTCAATATTTTCTGTTGCAATGTACAAGGTTATTAAGATGTTTAGTGGTGACAGCAAGTGTATATAATAACTGCTGAGTTCTTAATACTTAAGTGTTACGCACTAACTGATGTGCCAGTTTGATCCACCTCAAGTTCACGTGTGTGCTAGTTATCATTACAGTTGCAGCTCCAGTAACAGCTCATTGGCACACTAAAGGGGAATACATCTGCCTTGAAGCAGCAAAGAACACCACATATGATCCCTTGTGTGCTTCAAATAACCAAACTTTCCAGAATTTTATGACTTTCCGATGTTTCGTACGATATTTTGATGGTAAGTATACATATGATATTTAACATATTTCGCTTTCATTCTGTATTTTTATTAAATGAAATTAGTCTAATATATCCTATATTATATTATATTTTCAGTTGAAAATTGTTCTCAACGGAAATTATAATTATTCCTTAGCTGAATATCATGTGTGCATGACATCAGTAATTACTACCAATTTAAAGAGAGGAGTTTCCGAAGGAAAACATGATTGAATTAATCTTGGATTCCATAACTTTCGAAGTTTCTCAGATTTTACTACCCTCCCCAATAGGAAACCAGATATGAAACATATATTACTTTATACAAGATCAGGTTATATATATTTCGTAATCGTAAATAAAGTTTCCATCAGCTAAACCACCACCATGTTAGATTCTAAAGGGTTCTGACGATGGTGTATGAGTATAATACTCAGAACTACTGGGGGTTTGTACTTCGTCCATCTTCCGTTATTCTAGAAACTAGAAAACACAACGTTTCGGAGCCTGGATCTTTTTACGTCCTCAGGTGAGTGAGGGGGAAGATACCTACTCAGTTGGGTCCCTCAGAAACAGCTAACCTCAGTCACTGTGACTTTAATTCTGAGCAACATGTTAGTGCAGCTGTAATGCAACGTCCATTCGGAAGGTAAGGTAGCTGGTTCGAATACGAGGATAAAGACTACTATACGTCGCACTAGGCTAAGATCGCTTCCTTCCAGATCCTGATTCACTCAGGCTACATAATCTGCACAGTTGGCTTTACGAGATGTAATACACTTTTCAGTACATGGCCTGACTGTGCGAAGGGGCGCTTGTTCCACTAACCCAGAGCCCGACCATTGTGTTCTGTCATTCGTGGTGTGGCGTCAGGTCTGTGGCGCGGACAACGTCACTTACAGCAGTGTATGGGAAATGTTGTGTGAGGCTCAGCGCCAGAACAAACGTGAGTAATCGTGCTTTTTTTAACACCAAACATGTTGCCTACTGGGCGGTGTTTCTAATTTATTTTGAGAACGTAAACACAAATTTCGTGAAATTTCCATAATACGGACTTTCGACGTATAGAAAAATAGGTCAAAATGTAAACATTTTCATACTTTCATAGTGGTCTACTGTTCATAAGTTAGAATAAATTTAGAAATGCTTATTCTGTAATATACCTTACAATCTTCTGAGATGTGGATCTATACATCCACTCCTCCATACACCTTCATGGTCTAGTGCTTAATTAGTTAAGAGAAGCACCTTCTGATGAACTTCTGCTATCAGCTTCTTGTCTTTATCACATTCTTTACTATCTTCCACACATGAGCGGTCACTGTGTTGTAGTTGACCTATTGTGGATACAAATCTACAATTGTCATCTTGAGTCAAAACACTTCTCAGCATAAGTGACTGCTTTTCTTCATATTTCGTTAAATATTTGCCATATCAATAGAGTTTCAGTTAAACAGTTTTCTGTTTTGATATATGTGTTTATTCTATTTTCTTCTACGATGGCATATCTTTGAAACATGTAGGGTTTAATTTCTGTTTTATGTAAAACATAAGCAATGACTTCAATTTGAGCTGACACATTTTACTGCTGTTCTTTATTACTAAATTTCATCAAAATTCGACGATAAATTTCGAAGGAAAACTATACGAACTGATTATCGACACGCATTAGCCCACTAATATTTCTTTATTTCAAGACATACATGCAAAGAACCCGGTAGCGTAGTTGGTTGAGGCACTGTGTTACAAGCCGGAAGGTCGCGGGTTCGAATCCCGATGAGGTGAATTTCTTTTAATTTACCTAATCATTCCAGACTCACTATGGCCCTGGGATCGACTCAGCCTCTGACAGAAATGAGTACCNGGAGTACCATGAATCTTCCTGGGGGGTGAAGGGTGGCCGGCGTGTAAGGCTGACAAACTTACCGCCATCTGTAAGCCGACTGTCTACAGAAAATTTGGGATTTTCGACGTCTCAGAACCCTACGGGCCTTTCCGGTCTTTTATAAGGATAGCTTTATCTTTTACGTGCAAACAACTAAAGAACTATTTCATAGTTCACCAGTGTGATGGTTAGTATCTCTTAAAACGAAAAGCTTACAGAAAAGATCTTTGAAACACCAACCTCAAATAAATTAGAGACTATGAGGCTAGAGTCAACAGAACACACTTCATAAGTTTTACTTTCTAAGGTTCAGAAACAAATTAACAAAACTTTCTTGCAATTGGAACTAAGATAAAAGTGAAATCACCCTTTGGCCAAATCATGATACAGTGGCGCATATAGTGATCAGGGGTAAATTTCAACTTAGTAATCTCGGTATTATAAGGAAGTCGGCTGTCGAATTCAGCCCTGTCAGAGAACACCATTCCCTAACTCTCTTATAATTTGATCCTCTTTAACGAAGTGCACAATATGAAAGAGTAATGAAAAGGCTGAGCTGCTCATTCTGCACGCGTTTGGTTCACCCACACGTCTCATTACAACTGGATCTTTTTATTTTGTTTTTATTGCTAGTGGGGTGGGACTAAGTCCCTTGTACTGCGGCCACTTCTGGCCTATTGTACCAGTCCCAGATGATAGGTGAGGGTGATTGTGGAGCAATTTGTGGAATGAAGATTGGCAGGGGAAACCGAAGTACTCTGAGAAAACCTGCCCCAGAGCCACTTTGTCCACCACAAATCCCATTTGACCAGACCTGGGATCGAACCCGGGCCGCCGCGATGGGAAGCCAGGGACTAACCGCTTGAGCTATGGCGCGGACCTTCAATTGGAACTTAGACCTACTGAAAGATGTTCAGTGTAATTAGTTCGTAGTTCTAACATAATACTCTAACCCCAACCTTACCAGAAACTGAAATGGAACTATCATTACTTTTCAAAATTTTCTCTTTTCATAAAGGGTTGTGAGGATGGTGGATGACACACAGAATTACTGGGTTTCTGAACTTTTTCCATCGTCCGTAATTCTAGGTAATAGAGGGCCCTCTAGGTTATAGAGGACACGACGTTTCGGAAACTGAATCTGTTTCCGTCTTCAGGTGAGAAATGGAGACACCTACTCAATTGGGCCCCTTCTTTTCTCACCTAAAGACGGAAACAGTTCCAGTTTCCGAAACGACGTGTCCTCCATTACCTAGAATTCCGGACGATGGAAAAGTCCAAAAAGCCAGTAATTCTGTAACTATTTTTCCATTAATATTGGTAAATAACGGACGAGATACAGAGCCTCTGATATTTCTAACTGTTGCTTAAAGAACATTTCGATATAAAATATACTCCACTATATACAAGGGTTGGAACTTTAATAGTGGCAACACTGGCGTAGAGACGCCATGCACAGGAACCAAATAATGTCGCTTATACCACACGTTAGTTACACACCTACCTTACCTCAGGGCAAATGGACTCTCCCTTCTCACATCACGCGCATGCGCACTGACGAGAAGAAAAAAGCCTCGTGTCAGCTGGCGGTCTAATTTAGTGTTGTCACGTTTTCGAAACAGGAACAACGGAGTTGCATAAAGACTGAATGTGCCAGAGGCCGTACAGCACGAGTGTCATCAAGGTCTTCAAGAGGCTTGCGGAGAATCTGCATTGCCTTACAGAACAGTGGCAAGGTGGGTAAAAGCCTTCAACGAGGGACGCCAAAATGTGGCAGACATGCGTCGGCCAGGTCGTCCTAGTGTCAGTGAAGAAGAAGTGTTTGCTCTTTCCGTGTTACTGGAGAGTGATCGACGCCACACGATTCGTGAGCTGGCCCGAGAGACAGGATTAGAGCCTACGACTGTGCTTCACTTCCTGAAGGAACGCATGGGCATGAGAAAAACTGCATCATGACGCGTTCTGCATGATTTGACGGAAATGCAGAAATGGCTACGAAACGACGCTGCTCCTAACCACTTGGAGCGCTATGAGCGCGAAGGAGTGGCTTTCTTAAGCCGTATTATTACGCTGGATGATACATGGGCCAAATCGTACAAGACACAAATGAAACGCCAATCGAACGAATGGCGTCATTACCGGTCACCACGAAAATCAGAAGTTCGTCAGAACTCCAGCGATGTGGAAGTTATGGTGATTCTCGTGTACGACTGTGTTGGTGTTATCCTAACGCATACCGTTCCCCGACAGCAGACCGTCAATGCGCAGTATTACTTTTCATTTTTGGAACACAACCTGCGATCAGCTTTGAGAAAGAAGCGGGGACACTTTCTGCAGAACCCACCCATCATTTTGCAGGACAATGCTCGGCCGCATGCAGTGCAAGCTGTGGCTGCTCTGTTCGATCGATGGGGCTGGGAAGTGCTGTACCATCCACCAAACTCCCCGGACTTCGACTTGATTCATAAGATGAAGGAACCACTTCCTGGCATTCGCTTCAGAACTGTTCCAGAGATTCTTCAGGCAGCAGACCGCTCCATTCGAACTATCAAACACAACAGGCGCTGCTAAAGGTATCCTACGACTTCCACGTCGCTGGCAACGGGTTGTACACAATGCTGGTGACTACACTGAAGGACAGTAAAACTTCGAAACATGCATCTATTTTGTATCAACTGTAAATAAAGAGTTGCCACTATTAAAGTTCAAACCCTCGTATAAGGAAAAAAATATTTATTTAACTCTCATTTTCTTTTCATAAGTACGTACATGTTATGGGATCAACAAAATTTATAGATACATGAAATGTGTTACATGTGATGCGGTCAGCTTTGAAACAGTAGATTCGCATCTACCTGAAGCGAGCATAAAGACAAATGACGTACGTAGAATAGCACAGAATGAATTTGGAAATAAGTACTTCTTCTCTGACATGATTGGATATCATCATCATCATCAGTAATCTGTCAAGACGACAGGTCCACAGTCTCTTTCAAAACAGTTCCTCCACTTAATGCGATCTAGAGCTTTCTCCTTCAAATGACAGTATCCTCTTCTGTCCCCAAGGTCATCCAGCATCTTCTTACGTGTTCTTCTTCGTCTTCTTGTCACTTCTATCCGCCCATCTGATTGGATATATCGTAAATAAAATTTACGGCTCAATCCTTAGAATTCGAGAAATTCAGGGATCCCAAACAATAAAAGTGCAGCATACTTCTATATAGACAAACACATTCTTCATGATCATACATAATTTTGGAAAATATATTAGAAAAAGCTGAATATATAACAATATACGAGTGAGAAAGTATGTATGATGTTAACACCTATAAATTGTCTGTGGAAATATTTCCACAGGCAATTTATAGGCGACCGTTTAAGGCTTCGCGCCAGTAAATGATGTAGCTTAAATTAATTGTTCTAATAAGTAGATACAGATAAAGATATCCCTGTAACAGGCCGTGGAGGCTCATTAGGTTTTGAGACGTCGAAGATCTAACAATTTCTCTAGACAGTCGGCTTAGAGATGGTGGTTAGGTTGCCAGGCTTACGCCCAGGCCTCCATTTACCCTCCCTTAGGAAGATTCCTGGTACACCTTTCTGTTAGGGGCTAAGTCGACTCCAGGGCCATTGTGCGGCTGGAAAGATTAGGTCAAGCGAAAAACACAAGGACCTCATCGGGAATAGAACCCGCAATTTTCCGGCCTGTAGCATAGTGTCTCAACCAACTGCGCTAACGAGTAACCCTCTAATACGTAGACCTAGACTTATTCTGTCAGCTTACATCGGGCACAAAATTTTGTTGAACTTCGCCAGTCATTGGAAAATGTTCAGTTCTCGAACTTAAGTTGAATTTTATGCAAATATAACATATATCGGCCGATATATATATACGAGGCCAGCCTTCGTCGAAGAGATGTAAAAGGAAAATGTGCAATGAAAATTGTGATAAATCATGCACAGAGAATTAGTTTTCCAAAAGCAGCCGTCTTCCGAACAAAGAGGAAAAGCCTCTGAGTTTTTTGTATATCCAAAATATGAAGGGCGTTTCGGAGAAATTCAAAAGTATAGGGAATTAATATAACATTAGGACGATCTTCGAAAACAAACACATTCTTAGGAGTTCATTCATGGAAACCAGGCCGGAAAGAGATTTACTTGTACAACAGACAGTACAGTGCATCTATAGCATTTCCTGTGAATGTGACAGAAGATATATTAGCGAATCAGGCAGACTTCTAGCCGTGCGGCTTCGTGAACGTAGGCACAATGTGAAAGATGGTGATCTAGAAAATTGAAAATTAGCTCAACATGCATATGCAGAAGGTCATAGGGCAAGGATAGGATAATGCTAAGCTTTTGGAAATTGAAAATAATAGAAGGTATAGGAAATACAAGGAATTGGCCCATATGACATGCTTAACAATTCCGATCAACCAACCCAGTTTTGGCATTTCTATTTGGGTCCCCCATATCACCAATGAAGTTGACATCTCGCAGAAAATATCGGTATGAAGTGACAGATTCTTAATGGGTTTCTATAAGGTTTCAGAACCGAATGTTCAGTTTGTACTCCAATAACGGCGCTAGCAGTAACCACAAAATGATTTTACAAAATTCTCCATTTAATCCTATGCATTGGCATCCGTGGGCTTGGTTTGTTGGCTGGGTTTCTTGAGTAAAACTTTCACCTCCCTTCCAATCTCAGTTTCAGGTCTGTGCGTGATTTATCATAATTTTTATTTCATATTTTTGCTACCTCCCTTCGACGAAGGCTACTCTCAGGTATTTGCATAGCTGTAATCAGACTGTTGTGAGCTGTCCAGTTTTTGAGATTAGCTCTTTCTAAAGGACTTAAGAGAAAAAGTGTTTCCAATCTCACCTGAGGACGGAAACAAATGCAGTTTCCGAAACGGTGCGTTCTCTACTTTTTAGAATATAGAACATTGGACGAAGCCCCCATATCTAGTAAAACTGAATGTAATAAGCTCTTCCGCTCTCTGGAGACATGCTGTGAGATTTTTTTGAGGGAAACTGTGGACATTACAATATCGACTCAAGCACACTTGCCCTCCTGTTTGTTTTTGACATCTTCTGCTTCCATTTTTAAATACCTGCTAACATACAAGACCACAGAAGACCGAGCATTGTCCTATTCATGTGACATTACACACTATACACATAAACATACCTAATATACATTTAAGTACACACAGTAAAACATGTAAAAAAGGATGTACGTGTGTCTAACCCATTCACACATTCCAGTCAAGTAATAAATGCATTTGAGATATTAAATATTTCGTATATTTTTAACAAAATTTGTAATTGCACCTGTTATGCACGTAACTGTGAACCAAGGCTCTTAAAACAAGGGAAGGATATTGGGAGTGAGGATAATATCTGAATCAAAGTGGGAGGACGTAACATAAATTTGGATAACAATGCCAAAATGATCTTCATAAATTCTACGAGTATTCTCCATCGAACGAGATTAATTTTAATTCCCGGCTGTATGTTGCTCTCTCTTCTCAAGAAGAATGAGGCGGACGCAACATCCAGCATGCTACAGTAGAGGAGAAATGGGTACAACACTTGAGTCATAAAGTAAGAATAAGACTACTGTGGCCATCTGAGAGTACGTCTGAGCCTAATAATAATATGAGGTTGAGGACTGGATACGTCTGACTCAGGACGGGGACAAGTGTACTCTCTTCTGAGCGCCGTAATGAATCTTCTGGTTCAACAGAAGGCGGAAAATATTTTTATCAGCTGAGCAACTATCAGCATATCAAGAAGGACTCAGCGTCACAGAGTTACTAATGATTGCATCCTAATTTCCTCTAATCATTGCAATGCTCAGAGTATGTCAAAATCGCTGAAGGGAAGATATATCTTTTGTTTTCCGGGCTGTGCTATGCAATCACTCTGTATGGCAGTTTTGGAAATCATGTATGATGAAGAGGATAACCAAAGTATACTTGTCTGTAGGTCCCTGATATAATACACGACTTGTTATACCTGTCTTTAGGGAACAGTGTGCAGTACGACGGACCCTGCAGAGTCCAGTGTCTCATATCTCTCGCATACAAACCTGTATGCAGCTCAGAAAATTTGGTCTACGCGAACATGGCAGCCTTAAAATGCTCTACGCTGAGAAATCCGGAAAGAAGTGAGTACTAAGAGGAAACTCACAACTTTCTTGGTGTTTCTACTTCTCTCATAGTTATATGAGTTCTGACGAAATAATTAAGCCACAAATCCAAAATGAATGGAATGTTCTCCCTCTCTTTCTCTCAATACGGAAACTACGATGAAAATATTCTTCGACTTCGAAGAGATGAAAAGAACGCAACTTTTTCTTAAATCAGAGACGGCATCAGTTTACTGATTAGAAAGCGAAATTGTAATTATCTTGCTCCCCTTTCTAATAACAAACATGAAATTTGTCGAATTACATTGCCAAGATTATGTCATAAGAGTTTTACAAACCCTGGGTTTTAGGCAAATGGTATAGAGAAAAAGAAACTCTTTGGCTTCATGGTAATGGTACGAAAAATACGAAATGCTAAAAGTGTAAGCATATTTTTAACCCAAAGGAAAACATTGCTTAAAAGAAAAACAAATTATTTTGACATAACCCAGAATGAAAACTGTAAAAGATGGCATGACCATCGATGCAGACCTAATACTTGGCCAAGAAAGTCAACAAATTTTATGTAACTGGAAATGAATCAAAATCCGCTTTATATAAATTTCTGCATCTAAGCACACATCTTTGGTAATGTATCAACTTCATATGCTCCATCTACTACGGGAACGAAGACATATCACCGTCAAATGGTAACATACACTGTTATATCATCATTATAAAATTATTACATTCCATTTTCAACATACTTCGGTATTCATGCGTCGATGACAAGCACGGACATACTACAAGGGCCTTTGTTCTTTAAGGTAGCCTACAGAGAGTATGGTGTATCCCGCCTCATAGAGTCGATTGACTTTATGCAGAAACATTCAGTGAGCTTCCTTTTTTATTTTCTAATAGAAACACTTAGGATACGCCTGAACATGCAGTGCTGTGTGACTCTTGTCGAATATACCTAATAATATAACACTACACTTCCTTTTGTCGTTTCAGACATAACCGTGAAGAAAGACGGTCTGTGTTGGAATAGAGATTCATCTGCAATCATTTGCAAGGGATCAAAATACACTCGACATAACGGCAATGAGGATCCGGTCTGTGCCAGCAACGGCGTCACGTATGCGAGCTACAGTGAAGTAGCATGCCTACAAATTTATAACCATGGTGAGTATAGACTAGTTACGAGTTCTGACATTATAAAATCAACTTTTATCCTTTCCTGTAATTTCTGTTAGGTTTTTTTTTTCAGATATAAGAATTCTCCACGACGGACCTTGCAAGTATAAAGATATCGTCCTTCCAAATGATGTAAACGAACTCTGCCATCTAGCAGATAACAACGCGATTACAATGCCTGTTTGTGGGTCCAATAACCTCACATATCCCAACCCGTTTGTCCTGAAGTGTGCCAAACTCAGAGGAGTAGTGTCACCAGGTATGTCCTCAGGCGGTAAAGTTTATTTTTTTTTCACACCAGTATGTATGAAAAATTTTCTTTGTCATGGAAACCCGTTGTCATAGGTGGCGTGATTCTGACTTCAAACCACAATTATGGCATTTTTTGTGGTTTTCATAGCCACCGACGATCAAACACATATGTGACATCCCTCATTTCCAGGTTTCTGCAATACATCAGTCCTAATTCCCTTATATAAGTGAAACTTAACTATCTGAAATGCGATTTAAGAGGTTCTAGCTTACAGTATCCCTGAGAGGAAGAAAAGAGGATTCGACACCAAGCTATTTTGCGTATTATAAAAAGAATGAAGGAAAGAAAGGAAGTTCAAATTCATTGCCGTACACTCTGTGTTTTCTTGGTCTTTCATATTCTTGAGAGATGGTAATCTCATTTACTTTGAAAAATTAAAAAGGCCGATGAATCTTAAAACTATGTTCCGCCTGCGAGGTATTGGATCGGAAATTGAGAGACACAAGGAGCAAATTTGTACTGAGAGCTTTCGTAAAATTGAAATCCAGCCGTAGGAAATATAGAAGTACCGACAAGATACTGAAACACAATATCGAATATTCGACAGAAAGAGACCTTACTAGTTTCCATTTTGTTGCTCGATACAATGAAATTATTATGTTTCTAACATTTTTTTTTTCGAAAATTTGCTACTAACCTAATACATTCTTATGCATATATATATATATATATATATTATGCTGCATATTCTTCTGAATTTCTGTGAAATATAGAGAAATTTTCACAGCGTTATTTTGGAATGTTTCACTAATTAGGACTGTCACGACTTACGCAATGATAATAATACTAATAACAATAATTAAATTAATTCCTTTTTAAGTACGTGCTTACACGGCAGCCCAAATACCAATCATAAAGTATGTACGAAAGAAGAGACAAATAAACCAAGCAAATGCACACAAGGAATAAATAGGAAAAGGCAACGTATGCCATTCAGACAATGACTGTTCAACAAAAGCTGGAACTCTCATAAGAGACAGTCCTAACTACAGGGAGTGGCAACCCAGCCTTATACGAGCTCCAGGTTCCACTTGCCCTGTGGGTAGCACAGGGTGAGGGCCCCTTCTCAGGGTTATATGGCGGATAGGCAGGACTCGTTAGCCGTGGTAGGCAACCTGTCTAAAGGAAGGAAAGACACGCACACAGAAAACATGGTTCTCTAGTATGGGAGGCTGTACAAGTTACTAAGTTCAAAAGAGTTACTCGTAAACCGGGAGGATGCTTCATGTCTGAGGACAGAACGGACTAACAAGCTGAACCCTGGTAGATGATGACGATGAAGATGATTATAATGATTATGACCATTTAATTACTGAAATATTTTTATACTTAAATTTAAGCAGCGAGGAGAAAATTACAAAATTATTTAATTATAATATAAACTATAATAATAACAGTTATTTGTCTATGGACTGAAGATCCTAGTCACTAGGTACACAGTACACGGATCAAATACAAAATGACTCGTCTAATTGTTCGTCTATTATTACGTGTGTATTCGTTGCCGCGATAAAATTTATACGAGCCGTTTATTAGCAACGGTCGAGGGATACACATAGAGATATTAGATGCGAATGAGAGCGATTAATGAAATTCGCCGTTGAGATGGGCTCAGATGCCATGATATTCGTACATACCAAGCTTCGTAAAGATTGGTTTAGGCATTCCAAAATCTATAGAAGTGATTTTCACAGACACACACAATGGAGATCTCATATGCTTATTTTAATTGTTCTAAAATAAAGAGATTATGCTAAAAATTGTAAAGTGGGAATAGATATAATTCAACCAATCTTGATCTAGGCATCTGAAAGTGGTTAATTGTCAGCTTCATGCACCTACCACTTTATCCCCAGCGAAAGCGCCCCTGGTAACAACTGTGACAGGAGGCAGGGTGGATCCCAGAGCTGGTCTGGACAACGTTGAGAAGAGAAGAATCCGTTACCACTACCGGGAATTGATCCCCAGTTGTCCAGCCCGTAGCCCCGCAGATCATGACACAAATTTACCACAAATAAAACTATTATAAAATATTATGTAATTTAAACGTAGGCAGTATAGTTGCCATTTATGCTCTATGTCAAGACATTCCCTAATGAGATTCAATAGGAGCGAAAGTGGAATTCGGAAATAAATTATTATAAGTTGTGGTCAAATATTTATGGGATAATGATTATATTGCAGTTACGCAACAAAGAAGATCTTTGAGCCGATTGTCAAGGTAATGTGTAACCCTTAACGTCTCACAACCCTATGGGCCTTCACAGCCTGTTACAGGGATAGCTTTACTTTTTTTTACTTAATAACTGTATAATTTTGCATCTTGTTTATGTAGTACTTGCAAGGGATTTCTGTATAACGTCACCCAAACTTAACTTGTATAATTACGAGTATTCTCACAACACTTTATGCTTGTATTCGTATTACGAAGTGGAGGTTAAATTCATATTCCATGAAGGGCACTGGAATTAGAAATATAATAAGCTTTGTATAAACTCGATTTTTTAGTCCACACGCCACGTTGGATTTACCATACAATTGTACAAAACTATAAGATTAAGATGCTGAAAAGAATTTCTTATAAAGGAAAATATTGGATTAATAAAAACGTGCCACAATTCATGTAAACCAACAGACAAAATTTATTATAGAAATAATTATACCAGTATACAAATAAAAATTATGGAAGTTTAAACACAAACCCCTTCGACCGTTTACAATTTGCTGAGTAAGAAGAGAGTTTCATATTGGCTTACATTGCAGACGTGAAAGTTCGGCATGAGGGAAGCTGTGAAAAAGATCTAATGGACGAGGAAATAGTGGAATACGAAGAAGATCCATGTAAGGAGCAGAAAAGTGTTGGTCCGGCTGACAACATGACAGAAAAACTTCTCTTTTGCGCTTCCGACGGAAGGTCTTATTATTCCTCCAAACAGTACGCATGCGCCGTCAAGACGAACAGCGACTGGTTTCACTGTGAGTAGCGGGCACATTGAAATACACACGCAGTTAGTTTGTGTGTTAAGGGAAGGAGATGTGATGAAGAAATTCCTTCCTTTACCCTCTGTCCATCTTTCTATGTTCCACCCACGTTAAATTATTTAATTTGAAAAATTAATATAGTAGACATATATTAAAACTATGACCACAGGCCATTCAAGAGATCGAATACGGACAGACACAGGAAGAAAATTTATATAAGTCGATCTAAGACAAGACTCGAATGTACTGAATGTGAAGATACCGGCTGAATTCTGAAGCATATCATCTGGGTTACTACCGTCCTAAGTGTTCCAAGTTCCCTAAATGCTCCGTAACACAATTCTCACTCCCATATATATATATATATAGAGAAGGCACAATAGATCACTGTGGTCGCGGTGCAAGAGCCAAGAAGGCCCACACCTTATACATTCATTCATTCATTCATAGATAGATAGATAGATTTTCAAGCGAAAGCTAATAGAGGTTTTACACAATATATTTCCTGAAGAAACGCTTTCTGAAAACTTATCGTTCTAGAATACAGGCAGTCCCGTTTTGCTACGTATTACATTTATTTTAACACCACAGAACACTGAGCTCTAAAGTCTATGCAAAAATAACAGAAAGAAAAAAAAATCGATGTTGTACCCTTGTCATAATCATGCGGTGGTTAATAAGTTCACGGCCGTGCGCTAATCATTGCTTTAGCAATACTTGTACCGTATAGAGTAGTAATAGGCTAAACGTTATAAAAGGGATCACAAAGACTCCTACCAGTAACGTTTACTAGCAGGTAAATGTTTCATGACCGACCCACCGACCAACTCCATGGAGTTCAGCCCTTCTTGAAAAGCTTCCAGTTGTGCAGTTACTCAAGATTTTCCCAAATTTTTAAGCAACCTAAAGGCTAATTACTGTGGTGGAAAGAGCCCTACACTGATCCCTATCCTGAACCAGATCAAACTAGTCTATACTACACCATTCTATCTCTCCGACATCCATTTTAATATTATACACCCACCAAAGTCTTGAAAATGTCTTCACTACCTACTTTGGCACTGAAATCCCCTAACAAAATTTTGGTGCGGTGTTTAGGGAATTTATCGAATACACTTTCTGGGTTCTCGTAGAAGCTGTCACAAGTTTTGTCTTCTGTTGGGGCATTAACATTCTGAGCGATATCACACCAGAGGTCTCTTAGTATTGTGTATGACATCCTATCACTAACAAACGCTACCTTCCTAACTGCTGATATGATTCCCTCATAAGAATCTTGTACATATTTCATGATTCTCATTCCTCTTTACATAGACATATTTATCCACCTGCTATTTGGACCTTACCGCCGTCTTTGAGGCGATTGTCTAGACAATGTGGGACCCTCAACGTCTCAAAACGCTATGGGCTTTCAAGGCCTGGTACGGGGATAGCTATTTCGATATCACCTGTGTCCCATCTGACCTCCTGTACTCCCACTAAATTTAGCTTATATTTCGATCGTCTTTTCGCAACTGTCATGATGGTCATGAAGGAACCTGCCCCATACAGATTTTTACATTCCATGTACTAAATCCCATGTTCATTTTCTTTAGCATAGTCGTTTATCCAAAGAATTCGTCCAGGTCCTAGGTCCTTTGTGACATCTCGTAACATGTTTATTTTTCACGCTGAGGAGCTGATAGCCTCAACCCCAACCCTCATACTGGAGGACCATCTTTTGTCGCCTGTCTGCGACTTCTTATTAAATATATTCGCAGTTGCCTTCCATATCTGGAGGCCGTCTCCTCCATGCGCAACCTGAGGACGTGCCATGTCGTGGTGACAAGGGATCCATCTAACATGAAGTAATATTTTATAGAATTTTTTACGAATGGGGGAGACGAGGAATGCCTATATGAATATTGGAGGGAAAGCCAGAAGGAAAGAGACCACTCGGAAGACCAAGGCGTAGGTGGGTGGACAATATTAAAATGGATCTTAGAGAGATAAGATGGGATGGTATGGATTGGATAGATCTGGCTCAGGATAGGGACTAGTGGAGGGCTCCTGTGAACACGGTAATGAACCTTCGGGTTCCATAAAATGCTGGGAAATTCTTGAGTAGCTGCAGAATTGGCGGCTCCTCCAGAAGGGCTCAGCTCCATGAGTAAGTAAGTAAGTAAGTAAGTAAGTAAGATAGAGAGTGACAGAGAGCCAAAGCGCGCTTCAACCCTGCAGTACGGTAATCAATGGACGTTCCGCAGGGAACTTATCAATATGTGTCGTAGCACAAAAGTTTTGCTTAAAGCATTGAATCCTATATATGAACATGGTCTAAACCAGCTAAAGGATTAAACACGTGCAAATCCGAATAACTTAAGTTTGAAAGAATCTCTTATAGAGGATATTTCAATACGTGTTTAATTTTCCATCAGCTTGAGCAAATTCGGTTATAATCTTCTAAAATTACAGTCACATTAGCCTAAATTGATTTATTCTGTTGCGTCAGACATGGAGATAGATGAGTACTGATTTAACACTTTCTGTTTTACACTAAATTTTATATGACCTGAATTAAATATACATTAATATAATTCAATATTTTGAACGTTTCTGAATTGATTCCATATATTAATTTTTTAATTTTTTATAACCTGTAAATTGAACTTAATAAACCCGTCTGATGGTCGTGTATGTCAGTTACTTAAATAAAATGTTCATTTCTTTCTATATGTGTAATAGAAGGTTGCCGTTTTCTCGAGTATTTCGTGTCCCGTAAAATGTATTAAACGTTACATTACACATAATTGTTATATATTAAAGTACATTTATAATATCTAATTTTAATAGTTCTGAATGTTTGACCCTTAGAGATAAAAGTAGACCGATTATAATTAATACTCTTGAATTCCTACTTTGTGATTTGAACATGTATTTTCAGTGCGCAAAACCTAATTAAAAAAAATGAATGAAAGGTTTAATACTTCCACATCGGCTTCAATAAAATACAAAATTCATGGAGCATAGTCCTTTTTTGAAATTCCAGTAGTTGCTCGGCTAGTCAAAAAATTGTCTGCCTTCAATGTAGTCAGAAGTTTCTTTACAGCGTTCATAAGAGCCTGCCACTGATCCGTGTGCTTAATAAAATACTGAATCCATTATTTCATTGAGTAATGTTCTCAGGGGTTTCTAAATAAAAGTCGTTTAATACAAGTAATTGCCTCGCTATGAATATAAACCACAGGACTGTTCTGTGTGTTCAAAGACCTTTTGTACTGAAGGATGAAAGGTTTTTCTTACTACAGATACGATTGTCCGCATAGGAGTCCCATGCGACCGGAGTGATAGTCCATGTGAAAAACTGCAACTGTTACCCGAGGCTCTGGCGGCAGACCCCATCTGTGGCTCAGACGGCGTTAGCTATGCGAACCCTCTGGCTCTAATGTGCGCCATGATCACCGACCCAAGTAGGTACAATCTTTCCTCTATTATATTATCGTTCCAAATATATATATAACATATAAATAAAATATAGTACATAATGATATAATGATGAATATAAAATATATAATATAGAAAATATATATAAAAATGAATTTCTGACACATTTTGAAAGCAATTTTCAACTCCACGTACCGCTCTGTACATTTGTCCGCTTTGTAATTACACGCCTTTTTACTACTATTATAGTGTTATATGCAGACACAAGGGAAATGAAAAATAAACACAAAGATTCTAATTGCGCAATCTCAAGGAATGAAATCAACCGACGGAATTATACACGTATAACGAAATGGATGTCAGGGAATAGGGCCTGAACTTGTGGAAGAACTATCTCCGGATGGGGATCAGTCACGGGATTTTGCAAAGATGATACTGAAATTTCAGGTTACATAAATTCAGGCAAAAGTCAATGCACTCAATGGATTTACTAAATTCAAGTCACTAATTCTTACAGTGGTGTAATCTTAAACTAGGATAATGCCCTAACAAATAAGGGAGGGGAAAGAAAGACAATAAGGAAATAAATATCTTTAAATAGAACCAGAAACTCGATAAATAATTCAGATATTCTGCACGATTCTGAGCCAGTTCTATCCACATTACACCGCCTCAGCCAACTGTTATTAGGCCCACTTTAATGCTAGTCCGCCGGCTTTGTGTCCATGTTCGAACCGACCACTTTGGAAATAAGTTGTGCATTTCTTATTTGCCTCATAAAAACCCAGATGCGTATAGACGTGTTTGCTAATCAGGTGATTTAAAGGAATCTTATAGGAGTACACTAACCATCCATAAGAGTTTTAAGGAAGAAATAAAATATGAAAGTAAGGAAAACTGATTCTAAAAAGTATAATTCATAAAAACCGTATAGACTTCAACAATTTAATTTACTTGTGGATTCTACAGCATAATAAAAGAGCAATGACTCAAATATTAACTTCTGTCGGAGATCAATTAATTTTGTATATCGAAAAACATCTTATTTATGATGTCCTTTTAAATTACTGTAGATATATATTAACAACAGAATTTCTCTTCTTTCCCATGAAAGCATTAGTATTAATTTAAGTTATTTCCTATAGAATGGTAATTACTCAAAAAATTCAAAATTAGTTGACTCTCACTAGCATAATCTCATGCCATAAAAGACGGAAACATATTATCAGTGATAATAAAATTGAATTGCTAATACTGGGCCAGAGATATAGACACCGTACGTACACTTGTGTCTGCACTGCGTTTTGTGGCGAAGACACGAGACTAAATATTAAAAGAAACTGAGTGTATGAACGCTCTGACACAGCTTTCATCAAACCACGTAAAGAACACGAAGGTGTATCTGTGAGTAATTAATTAAGCACTACTCCATGAAGAAGTTTGGATAGCGGATATACTGTATATATTCGCGCTTTCTTGACCACGGCACTAGTTAGAGGTCAACGTCTAGCATATATTATCTCAATTTCATGTGTTTAATTTAATAACAGCAATAATACCAACATTGCAGCCTAAAACGACAGATATGGGACAGCACTATCACCACTTCGGATGTCTGGAAAGATGTAAAAAACAAATATGGGCAACTTCTTGTAAAGTAAAAAAAAATCTACAAAAGTGAAACAAAGACAAGGCAGCCGCGAGTGAACTACGTTTAACTTTTTGATTTGAACTATTCCGGCCAGATGTGTAAAATATCCAATAAAGGTAAAGCGTTTACATACTTATGAGTTCAGCCTGAAAATTTATTTGAAGTGTTTAGAATTACAAATATTACAACCATAAGAATATTTATGAATCAGATTTAAAGTCACCTGTGCCCGTGATTGAGCACGTTATGCATACTGAATATACAAATACGACTAAATTGTGTAATTTTAATTTATAGATTTTGCTAGCCCTCATCACACAGATTGAACTAATGGAGTGAAACTGGCCGTTATATGCCAATCACGGTAGCCGAGCGGTCTAAGGCATGTACTGTCTTCGCTCGGAAGCTGGGATCGTGGGTTCGAATCCCACAAAAGGTATGGATGTGTGATATGTGTATGCGTTTATTCTGTGTTTATGTTGTCCTGTGTTTGGGTAGTGGCCTTGTGGCGAGCTGTTCACCCGTCCAAGGAGTCCTACTGTCTGTGAAATGATCATGAAACCAGACCTAAGCTCCAAGGTCTGAGCAGGAGGAGAGAGAGAAAAGAGCTGACCATTATATTCCTTTGAAGACATGTCTACATCCTTGTGCCTTACGAACAGCCTGAAGAAACATGTTACAAAATTCCACGTTCGGTTTCCATAGCTCTGTGTCTATATCTCATGATTTGAAGTCGCGTTAGATATTAAATACCTAATTAGTACCTGCGTAAAATTAAACCCTGTCTGAATGTTCCCTTTCTTTATGGGATGCTGTTTTTTGTTTCAGAGCTTAGAAAACACCACAAGGGCGCATGCATACCGCCTAAGACGTAAAAGAAGAGAAAAAGTCACCATCAGAATGTTCATTTACATAAGTGACGTGATGCTATTTCAAACTTTGATGTATTCTCTTCCGCTGAGAAAGGGGAAAATCTTACTTTCAATGTCATCAGTTTTGTATTATTATTCATCTCTTTTTAGTACAGAATCAGTGTTACATTGTGACAGACTTTGCCAAGAGATGGCAGGATGTACGCTTTATACAACGCTTGTATTTACACTGTAATGGAAAGACAGTCTAGACTTGCGTACAATCTTGCGTTGCTATCACTCCCGAAACTCATTCCATTACGTTGTAATCCTTCCCCTGTCATTTGTCATTTGCTCTTTATCTTACTCCAGTCTCCCCATTACACTCCTTCCTTCCTTTCGCCGGCTCTGTTAGATTTATCGCTCTCTCGTAACTCTGATGTTTGTCGTCACTTCAAGCCACCACAGCACGCCCTCTCACAAGAGTCGCTTACTATTCATTTAGAAAGATTTGAGTTCCCAGAGGATACATTTTTTAAAAGAAATTCGCACCTCTCATTGGACAGTTTCTTCAACAATCATGTCTCCATTTGTAAGTTTTGAGGTTTTCACGGCGATGACTATGAAGAAAGTCGTCTTCTGGGATCTGGCGCTTTTCACTTCCTAATCATTACAGCTACTGCTCTCTGTATTCGCAACGAAATTCACCTGCCCTGAAGATGGAGGCGATACGTTCCTCCGAAACGTCGGCTGAAACAAAGAATACACGGCGCCAGATCCCAGAAGACGACTTTCTTCATGTCTCCATCTGTTGCTCAAAATTTGGAATAAATTATACTTGTGGACACGGCCAATTCTTTTTTTCTTTTCTATACTACTACTACTACTACTACTACTACTACTACTACTACTACTACTACTACTACTACTACTACTACTGCTACTGTTGCTGCTGCTGTTGCTGTTGCTGCCGGTAGTAGTAGCAGTATAACATCTACGAAATTAAAGAAGAGTCCGGTCGTCTATGTTGTAAAGCGATGTAGATAGGAGAGAGCCCGACGTTTCGGCGGAACGCATCGTCTTCTTTTTAACTATCAAAAAGGGAACCAAACAAGAAAGCAGGCGGCAAGTTGAATTAATTCAGCTCTGAAGAAAGCAGTCTTCTGGGATGTGGCACCGTGTAGATGTGGTGTTAACCGACGTTTCGGAAGAACGTATCGCCTCCATCTTCAGGGTAGAAGGAAAAATAATAAATCTGCGAGCGAAGAGACCGTGAGAACCGGTACAAGCAGACTGCCTGTACCGGTGCCACATCCCAGAAGACTGCTTTCCTCATAGTGACCGCCGTGAACACCTCAAATCTTACAAAGTTCAGCTCTGTTTCTGCTGGTTTCGTTCTTGGTTTACTTTTCGACTCTGAAAAATGGAGACGATCTGATCCTCCAAGTCGTGAGGATCTCTCCTAAATACTCGTACATGACGTTGGAACGCACACGATCGTACAATTTATAGTCACCAGTATATGACCCTCAGATCCAACATATGTAACGAAATGACTGAAGCTATTAACAATGTGTTATTCTGAGTTACACAACGTATAGTCCGGTATGTAGTTACCTACGTTTCGGAGGATCTACTGACTCCATCTTCAGACTGCTACTTCTTGTCTGAAGACGGAGCTCAAGAACCGACTTTGTTCAACGGGTCTATTTGTGTAGATATTTACTGTCCGTGCTTATTCGTGGCCTGAAAACTGAGCCAAAGCTAACCTACTAAGTCTACTGGACGCTGTCTCAAATAACATGGGCAAGGCTCAGAGGAAATCCTTATATCTTTATGTAAATTTGTTCCTCAAGCCAGGGCCAACGACAAAGAAATATGACGTTACGCTTGTGGACTATTATTATGTAATGCTCAAAGAGCACTTGCTAATCTGAAGCTTTCTGAGAAAACAGTGGTTGTATTATAATAAAAAAATTATGGAGTGTTTTCTATATTATATTTCTTGTATAGCAGGTTCGCTTTGGAACCCATATTTTAAAACTGCTAACACAATTTACACATTTCCGTTGCTGTTATTGCTACTGATAATGACAACAGTTTATCTTGTTGATGTTCATGGTAGATCGAAAACGAAACAATTTCAAATACCGTATTTACGCATGTATAGGCCGCGTGCGTGTATAGGCCGCAGCACAATTTTCAGACAGAAATTATAGAAAAAATAATTTTCTTGGAATATTATTTCAGGAGTAGAACACCCTGTATTACTAATTATGAATATAATTTTTTTAAATGAAGTGTGATTTCGAATATTTCGAATATAAGCCGCACCCCAGTTTTCCTCTTGAATTTCTGGCAAAAAATGTGCGGCCTATACATGCGTAAATACGGTACTTCAAGTATTTCTGAATGTAACCTCGACATGTTGACATGCAATTTCTCGTCAGTCTGTGGAAGTTGAAATTGGAATGGGCTACATGTCTAATTTTATGAAAGTGATGTATAATTTGAAGCAATAAATAGACATAAAGTCACTTTACTTACAACGAGGTTTTCTTCTTTATGTCATGTTATTTTAATATACCATAACCGATATATGAAATTAATGTCTACAATAATATTCATTTCCTGTCCCTAATACTTTGTCAATCACGTCATTAAGACAATACATTTGTGCCCGGTAGCAAATGAAATACTTCATGTTCCAGACATATTCAAGTGCACTAGGTCTAAACGTCCATTACTGTAGGCTGTTTGAAAAACATAAGGAACAACATGTGCAGCGCAACAATTCCATTTGTAGTCTTTTGGATATATTTCAAATTATCTATGAAAATGATAACTAATAAATTAGTTAAGCAGATCTAGAGCAAGGTGTAAAGTAGAAGAGTGAAAATGTCATGTGACCACTGAATGACACGAAAGTTAGAGTGTTAGAGTGTTAAGAGTGTTTTTCAAACCATGCCGGATAGTTTTTAAGTAGTCGTTATGAAAGGATTAGACCTGTCATATATCCAATAATTTTGGAAATGTTAAATTATTTTTTAAATTGAATAAATATTTAGGTATTTCTCAGTCCCTACAGGCAAATGCTGAGATATCGCAGTAAATTAGGTCACATTATAGTGACTGATCAGGAACATTCCTGCACGTTCTGTGTGAAAATCTTGTATTAGCTCTTAGAGGCGTAACGTAGGAAAGAAATTAAGGTTACTTAGAACTTTAAATAATTTTGCAGCAGAAATCCATGACATCGGTGGCAATATACAAGAATGAGCAACAATGAACAATTATTATTTTTAAAAAGTAGGCATCACAAGTCCTTGCTGTTTATTTAGAATTGGAGGGACATTGACGTAAAAAGAAATGCACGCTTGACTCAGTCAATGTAAATGCTGCATCCATAGTTCAAGAAGTTACATGGAAGCTTTAGTTTCCGCGTTATCTCTGCAATCTATGAAAGCAATCATTATTTGGAGACTGAATAAGGGAGGCGAGAGAGCACTTCACCGTTTCCATGGATACGACATCATCGGATTTCTTCAGAATCGGAATTCCTTGAAATGTTTCATTCCCCAGAAAATCCACAATTGCTCCGCTTTATCTTATATAGTAAAGAGCAAAGATTTTATTTTTCATCAGTCTTTGTGGCCACGAAATGCCAAACCTTATATCTAGATTAAATACCCCAGCTAAAAAAAAAATAAAACTTTAGAAAGGATTTTCTGGGTCTCAAGAGAAATGGCGTGTATACGTTGGTAAAAGAAACTTTGCAACCACTGTAAAAGTAATTTCACAAATGCATAACATCACCTCTTTTTTTCTGTGTGATATTTTTCTAAACATATTATGTCCTGGGTGACAAGCCGGTAGGTCGCGGGTTCAAATCCCCATGAGGTCATTGGATTTTTTTCAGTTGACTTAATCCTTCCAGCCGCACTAGGCCCTGGGGTTTACTCAGCCTCTAACAGAAATGAGTACCATGAATTAATTAAATAAGTTTCCTGGGGAGTAAGGCGCGGCCGGCGCGTAAGGCTGACAACCTTACCGCCATCTTTGAGCCGATTGTCTAGATAATGTGGGACCCTCAACGTCTCACAACCCTGTGGGCCTTCACGGCCTGGTACAGGGATAGCTTTACTTTTTTTTTTTAAAGTAAAGTTTACCTGTTTCGTTTACAGTAAGGATATTTTCAGTTGCTACGGTTAGATAAGGTAGAATATTAGGATGATAAGTGAATAATGAATTGAGATCGGATATGTTAGGGAGCAGTATAGCCCAATTACTTGTGCTATTGTGGCATTTGTAAGGAGGAACTGAGGAGAAACCACGAAAATCCTCATTCAGGATAGCCTGTATCCGACCGACTATTACACCCAGGGTCTACTGAGTATCAAGCGCAAATGCTGACTGCTCGACCGCAGTATTCAGGGCTGCACCTACAAATAATATTATTATGAAAGCTACATAAGGTCTCACATACACTTTGGTATCTCTTTATCAATCAGCAAGCGATACGGAAATGGAGAGATTAACGTTAATTTTTGTACTGTAGAAACTGTTTCGGTAGAAGCGCTCCGACAGAAGAGCACAAACGAATTAATAAGCTAAGATCCACATATGAAGTATACTTTATGGTAGGCTTATTATTATTATTATAAATTATACGTAAATAAACATGAATTGAATTGAATTGAATTAGGATGTATGTATGTATGTGTATTGTCCTTTCTCACCACATAATGGAATAACCATTCGAAATGTACTTATTTTATTTTCTCACCTGTTAATGCTAACTTTAATTTTTCTTGGAATTTTTAATAATATAATGCCATTATACAGACTGTCTTATTTGTATTTTGTCTTTTAGTTATATATGTATTTCTATGTATTCGTGTCAACTTTGTTATTGGCCTCTGTTCTGTTAAGTCTGCGCGTAAATAAACACGAATTGAATTGAATTATTATTATAATTTTACTGCAATTTAGTGTTAACCCGGTGGCAGTAGATCTTACACTGATACAGACAAGGAAAGGCTATACATAAAGGGAACAATACAAAACAGAATACAAAATAAACAAGGTACACACAATGGAAATCCAAATATATGAAGCTACACAAGGGCACACAAGGTCCCTGACAGTTGTTTATTCATTACACTACAATTTTCCATTTTCTCATGTACAGGGTTAGTATAAAAGAACTAGACACTTTCAAAGTTTTATAGCAACCAAAGTGTTATTGATATAGCCAAAATACTTACATGGAATTTAGTATATATCTTTAAGTTTGTGTGACTAAGTTACAAATGTTCTATGTGTGAGACGGCAGATATCAATACGATAACCCAGTTCGTTCTGAACACGCTCAACAGACCAGAGCATGGGGCTGACAAGTTGGCCATCAAGAGTTCCGATATGACTCCCACTGATTTTTCTTTCTTGTGGGGAAATATCAAAGAGAGTTTTTATTTCTCCACTTCCTGTAAGTGTAAACGCTCTAAAGCAACGCATCACAACTGTTACGTGTGTTGACGTGGACATGCTCCGGTGTGTTTGGAACGAATTGGATTATCGTATTGATATCTGTCGTGTGACAAAAGGCTCACACATAGAACATTTGTAACGTAGTCATACTAGCTTAAAGACATATACTG